GTCGGGACACCGGTCGGGACACCGGTCCTTGTTCCGGATAGAGCGATGCCGCGCAAGCCGACGGTAGGGGGGGAAAACCAGCAAGCCCACGTGTAGGTCGGCGCCATCGCCACATATAGCGATCAAATTATGCACCAAACTTTCCGAACTAATTGCCATCGCCCCTGACGCGCTCGGTGACACCAAATAATCAATCAACACCGTGTGCGCAGTGGACGTGATGACGTACGTGGCGTGGAAGCTGAGTGGACTGCCGTGCCACCGGGTGATCGGCTCAGGGTGCGCGCTGGATTCAGCGCGGTTCCGCTTCTTCATTGCGAGGCGTCTGGGTGTGCGGCCTAGCAGCGTTCACAGTTGGATCATCGGGGAGCACGGCGACAGCAGCGGTGAGCGTGGCCTTAAACGCCATCCGCACTGCCGCCACAAAAACAACCGACTGACTTGTAGGGTGTGGGTTGGTGACAACTGATTCAACTCGCTTATGGGGTGCGGGTTGATGACAACTGATTCAACTCACTTGGGGTTGGTGCGGGTGTGACGCAGTGCCCGTGTGGTCCTGCGTGAACGTGGCTGGCGTACGCCTCCGAGAGCTGAATCCTGCGCTGGGCTCTTCAGACGACAAGGAGAACTGGGCCGAGGTGCACAAGAAGGTGGTAAAGAGGTGAGCAGTGGACTTTCTTACCTTTCAACCGTTAGAATATTGCCGCGATGACCTATGCAAAAATGCGAAGGGCTGTTTTAGTTATTAATTATTGTATTATTGCAGTGTATAAAAGATCTTAAGCAGCTTTTCTCCGAATTTTCGTTTTTAGACATTACTCTGGTTAAAAACTATTCATAACACTTTTATCAAAGAGAACTGAAAGACGAATTGAATTATGAAACTGAAAATTTGCAATCGATCCTTGATTATTCTGAAATATTCACTGTATTTCTAATCTGAAATTGTTCCACAATGTGGGACGCATATTCTTGAGGTTTGTTTAATTCCCAGAACTTAGCTATTTGTGGATTGGAAGAAATCACTGTGTGTCAATATTATTTGCCAATAATCTGGCTATTTGTCTCGTTTGGTAGTTTAACTAGGAAAATTAAAGGAATGGAAAATGCAGTTGATGTCTGCAAGATGGAATTCCTGAGAAATATGAATGTTTACACATCCATGATTGAGAATAAAACTGACATACGGGCCGATTTGTTAAAATTTGATTTTAAATATTCAAATTGGATTAAGTGTTGTTCTATATTCGTACCGTAACATCTTGTTACAGTATTCTATAGATCATTAAACTCGGACTAACAGATTCTGTTGATAATTCTCCAATCTAGAATTGAAATAAGATGTCGTTCAGTACTTGTCTAATAGATATCTTAAATACCTACCAGCAATTGGAAAGTGTACGTACCGTCACCGACAGACCACACATCATCCTATGAGGTGAATACGCTGTGTTCGCGTGCTGCGCAGTGCTTACGAGGTGATCAGCCTGAAGGGCTACACGTCGTGGGCCATCGGTCTCACTGTGGCAGCCCTCGGGCGCGCTGTCATCCGCAACACCGAGGAGATCAACGCCCCCTCCGTCTTCGCAAAGGTGGGCGTTCCCTCCAGCACGCGCCAAGTCGTCGTTTACTGCGTTTGGGGCAAAATCGTAGAAACTTGCCCTTGAGACCACCTCTGGCTGACACGGGCTGCATTATAGCGCATTTTCTCCATATCTCCTATAGTACAAGTGGGAAGAGTGTTGGAATCACCTCGACATGGTAAAATCATGGTCTTTAGGTCCAATTCTTTAGAACCTTAACTTCGCCTACTCGCCAAAATTAAGTTTTATTAGTGTTTTCCCACGGATGGTCAAGATAAGTGCGGATGGTGAGGAATATTACAGTTTTTGTGCCCGAAAATCGGGATGCGTGATTAAATTGATGGATGAAAGCGTGTGTCACGCCTGACTTAGTGAGATTTAAAGAGTTTGAGCCGAAACTTAGAAAATATGAGAGGAGTTAGATTAGTTGTCCCGTTCCGGAGATGTCATGCACTTTTTTTAAATGTAGAAGTAGTTGTTGAGTACATACCTAGTGACACTTAGAGGGAGAAAAGTTTAGGTATTGCGCAATGTAACTGGTTTCGTTTGGCACCTAATGAGCGCACTGTCAAATATTTTTGGAGAATGGGGAAGAGAATGCCCTTTGCCATACCCGTAGCCTTCATCTTCTCTCTTACACGCAGCGCCTTGCAGTTCAACCGCCTCTTGGACCCGAGACCCCGTTTTCCATACACCCCCTCGCTCTCCTTCCCCGCCTCCCTCCCGGGCGACAGAGTCGCTCCTTTGCTCGACTTTGGCGACAGCTCCTCCCACCGCTCTTGAGCGCCGGAGGGTCGTGGGGGCGGCATTGCTGATGTAGCTTCACGCAGCGCAGCGGTAGTCGCGTGGAAGTTTCCGCGAGAGAGAATACGGCAGTATCAATTTTTTTTGGATTTTTTTACAAATGTTACGTACACATGTCCGTGACGTCATCAGTCATGAGAGTAGGTGGATTCATAAGTCCCCCATATGTCGATACTCCAAACCAACAACAACAAAAAAGATTAAAACAGTGTGTTACGTATATAGTGAACTTCCGTCCCGCAACAGTGTATGATCCCGTAAGCGCCCGCTATCTTGGGTATTTACGATAATTTCAGCTGCCGCTGCTTTTCAGTTATCCAACGTAGCTGTCCGTTCATCTCAGTCTTGGGGTAATGTCAAATAAAACACTTAAAGTTCCAACAAAAAGAAAAATGCGTTGTTCGTAAGTTCTGGATTGCTAATCAATCGGAAAACTGTTACCTGCTCTGCTGTCGCGGATATTTTGGTTTTGTATCCTTGAAAAACCCATAAATTATACAATATCAACTACCTTCTACAAGGTTTCGTCAATCTTCTAAACTCTTAAAGATAATACTATTATATAACTCTACTAATTGGGTAATTTACAAGAGTTTCACTGTAAATATCACGGCTTAATCGTCAGGCGTTCATCATCTTACGAAATCTAGCCAGCTCCTCCCAAACAAACCTGTCTCCACAGCAACCCCCTACGCACCTCAATTGATGTATCTCTTTAAGTGTGAATAAGCTCGTATTAAGTTCTATATTTACATTTCGTGACGTAGTGTAATATTAGGGAAGTACGATTACTAGGTCTTGTTGGCTACACTTCTTGGTCGTTGGGGGGGGGGATGCTCGAAGTGTGTAATTGTGTGTCGCAGGAGTCATCGACAAGCACGTGTAAGTCTCTTACATTCGTAAGACATACCGCAAGACATACGCTAACCCTCAAAACGATTAAAACAATGTAAATGATAAGGAGAGTATGATTAAAGTGGCCATTATGTGGTGCCCTGCTTTAGCTGTACCGCTCGCAAAAAAACCATCATGGTGGACGTAACGTTCGTAGTCTCGGGAGCTTCTCCCACCCTGTTGCAGCTGCGATTTCCCTTCTCTGCAACAAGGAGGCGCGAAGGCAATTGCGAAATCGCAGCTATCCGTCACTCATCACCCTCATCTTCAGAAAGGGAATTCGCACTCCCAGGAGTCCCAAGAAGTGCCGAATTCATCAATATACTTGTCCATAACATTATCACATTACTTAAAACCTTCAAGATACGGCTTTTTTCTGTTGATAATTTGGACAACTAGTACTGTAGAAACACGAAAGTTACCTTTCTTCTGATCACTCATCAGTTTATCACTAAACTGGCAGTATTTTACCGCGCGACCCAGGAGAGAGAAACGGGGAGAGGGCGAGAAAGACTGGGGGAGAGAGAGGGGCGAGAAAGACTGTGGAAAAAAGAGGAGAGAAAGACTGGGGAGAGAGGGGAAAATCTGGGAGCTATGTTGTGACAAAGAGGGTGGCAGGCAGAGAAATATTTATCGCTTTGAGGGAGAAGTCACGTTCGGCATGCGCAATGGAAGTTTTTGACTGGTAGAACTGTAGTGGTAGAGGGTGTTGAACGTTCCAACATTGCCGTGTGTGCAGGGGTACTTCGCATCGACAAGGACGTGTACCTGTCGCTGCCGTGGTGCTTGGGGGGGGGCGCGTGTCGCACGTACTGCGCATGCGCCTCAAGGAGAGGAGGCGTGCCGCTCGCCAAGTCAGCGCGCGTTATAGAGTGGTGTGCAGCGTCAAACTTTGAGACAGTCTGTGGGACTATGCTACGAATGGATTATTGTATTTTATGTGTACAGTTAAAGCACTTAAAAAGTGTACGTGGCTTCTTATACAAAGCCATTAAACGTGTATATTATATAGGAGTTAATTATACCATAATCCTTTATAAATACCTTGTTATTAATCGTTATATTAAAGGACACGATTACAGATTGAACACTCTCATACTAGACAAGAAGTACTTTCTTGCATGATATTTTATTTATGTTACTTGCCAAAATATGAAGATAGTTTAAATTTGAATTTGATGCGTACTGAACTGTGTTCCTAATTGTTCATGCGGCACTACTCAAAGATATAAACAGCTTCTTTTTATGGTTAAATATTTTTGAATATTTTCTGTACTAATGCTAATGTTAATACACAATTCTAATTCAACTTTAGCACAGTTTTCTTCATTCCGTTATGTACATTTTTACCTTTCATCAAGAAGTACAACTGTCAACTGCCATATATGCAACTTACCATTAATGAATTAGAAATATTTTAATCCGATTCAATTTTCAATGAAATATAATTCCCAATGACGTATTTTTACTATAATTAATCAGCATGCCGTTTAGTTTCTCACTTCCTCATATAGAATTCCTGACATAAGTTCAGAATTTTATTTTTTTTACCAGAGGACATTAAGAATTTAAATTAAAGAGCCAACTATAAATATTTTTCTCAACAAAAACTGTCATAAGTAAAAAGTCCTGCAATCAGTGTAATTTAAACGTTGTAGATTATCATTATTTTTTCACCCTTTAGAGGTTTATGGGGAACCGGCGTCAATGATTGTTGGGAGTGAAGCATTGGACAGTTTTTGAAACTTCAGGAGTGGGCTGTGTTCATGTCAATAGATTCATATGGTACTTTGTCGGACCTTATATTACAGTAAATATTTTGAACTTTATTTTTTTAACTTATATATGTTATATGAAATGGAAAACACAATAAAGTCATTTCTCTGTTAGGGTGCCGACTAACTCCAGGAAAGATCGTGGGTTTGTGTGGTAAGTGCTGTACTTACCGGTGTACTAGATTTAAGTACAAAAATATGATAAATGGAAGAAACAATTAACATTTTGGAAGCTATGATGATGCGCCCAAAAAAGGGGAAAAAATGCATCGCCTACCTCTCCTCAACCGAGAGATAGACATTACCGAGAGCTGCTCCATGGTCGAAGTCGAAAAGGAAGTGGCGCCAAGTTAATGGCAATATAGCCTTTAAATACAGAAAATATAAAAATATAACACAGTTCATATATTCCTCACGAAATTTCAAAATATCGTAACTCATATAATTTTTGAATTTGAGATTTCAATACATTGTCTAAGAATACCTTACAAAATATTATAATCAAAAAATATTATTTTCCTGCTCATTTAATGAAAACAAAATGTTATACACCAATTATATGATAAACAAATGTTATATAATTTGTAATATTCAATCAAAATCAAAATGTGTGCTACATACGTAGGTTAAAATAATTAAAAATTATCAAATACTTTTCACTGCAATAAGAAAGTGAGAAAATAGCGAAATAGAATAAGTTCAAATTCAAGGTCTAACTTGAGACCGATAGCTAACACGTTGTTTTGACTCTCCTGTTACATTTAGTTCTTGTTGGTTACGACATTTTGCATTTTCTTGAACTACACGTGGAGTCGTATGCTTCCACAGCCTCTTACGTTCATCTGAAACCCTTCGCTTTTGTCAATAAAAGCCCTGACGGCACGTTTACATCATTTGTAACATTCATCATAAACACTTTGCATCATAAACATTTCATCAACAATTCATCATAAACATTTTGCATGTTGCAAAAATTGACGAGCGTGTGTTTAACATTTAACATACGGAGACGCACAATCTCTACTCCGTAGCAAGAAAGTAGAAATACGAATTTAATGTTATGTCATTCATTTTTGAAATATTTTATAATTGTTATTATTAACAGAACTTATATGAAGCACTTTAATAATGCTTACTCCTTAATGCACCTGTAATTCAACCATTACTTAACAATTTAATCGTTCATCTGCAAAATTCATTTTTTGAGTTGTGCCAATATTGCAGCCCGTAAACGATATTAATGAACCAATATGTTAGCTGCAAAACGCTGTTAACATAAATTACGTCATGTTGATAAGGAAAGAAACTGCAGGAAGCTCTCATTTATAGTATGTGACTCTTTAAAGCACGGGACATTTCACACTGAAGATAAGCAAAAAAAAAGTATTCTAGAAATTTTGTTAATTTCCATTTGGCTTGGTTCGTAATCAGCGTTCATTGTTACGCCGATAATGGATTATATAAATAGTACACGTAAAACACTTGGTGCCGTTAAAATACCTTAGTGCTCCATACGCCATTTACCTCGCTTGACAGTTTCACCGAAAAAGAAAAGAAACGAAGTTTCGCTCACCCCGTTGGCAGATGCCGTGCCGTGTCGCGGCAGCAGGTGTGAATTTCACGCCTGGAAGTAACCTTTTAAACTCAATTTTATCGAGGGCAATTTTTTTTTCGGGAAAACTGGATCTGCCATTCTTTATGAACGACAACGTAGAATTTGGGATATTTTTTTGTAACGGGAGCTTCAGGCCACCCAGTACAACGAGTTAGAAAGAGGCGTTCTAGGAAAGGATTCATTTTTTGGGCGAAAATCATTCTATGGCAGTACATTTTGTGGCAAGCAATTAATTTCATCGGCAATTATTTTTCTTACAATTATCAATAAATGATCCATCGTTTAATTTTCCAATTGAAATACCGCGAACCTGTCTCTTTGAAAAGTTCTAGAATGTTGCACCCTGCGGTAGCTCACCTAGTCCTTGAGAGATAATATCATTGAGAGTGAAACTTCTGTTTCTCACTTTCTGTTGTTGACGTTTGTTTACTTTTAGAAATTTCTAATCATGGTAACGAAACTGAAATATATAGATTTTTAATTTCAACCAGAGAGGAATTTTGTAAAGAAAGTAACTTCGTATGTAGTATACGAAAAAATATCATTACAGTATTGTGTTGACATGTGTATATTTACAGTAATTTTTAAGTGAAGGAATGGGAACTAACGTATATAATTAAATAAATGTCAAATTGCAATTTTGCATATTTAAAAATATGTTTTAAAATAAAATTATTCAAAGTTCTTAAAGATATCTAAAACACAATCTTTATCCATTGGAACATGAAACCCCAATGCTTTTTAAAACTACCCTCACATTTCAAGTTGGTTGTTTGAGGTCATGGACGCTTGAGTTCTTACAAACGTACCCCAAATTCCTAAACGCCAAGAAGGTCATCTAATGAAAACGCATAAACTCTGAACGTATGAAAGAGTGAGTCATTTCAACTACGAGGCGACCGCCATATAATAGCCATAATATCGACAATTTTGTTAGTAATATTGAATTTGAAATAACTGCTTGGAAGGTTGGGGTTTAGTTAAAAATATACTCCCCTGAATTTGATGCAAAGAAAAGTAAACATTTCGAGGATTCCAACACGAGACGTCCTTGTTCATTTGCTCAGTATACTGCGATCACTTTCATTAATCATAAGTCATTTTATGTTGGGTTTCTAATGTCAAACTATTATAAATGAAATAACGTTCCAACATCATTGTGAAGGACAGGCATTCGGCTTACGAAATTGGTGTTCTAATATTTGCTTGTAGCCTACTCTGTGGTGCGTGAAAATGTATATATTTATATACAATTTTTATTTTCTCGATACTGTAAGAATATAAGAAATAACATAGGCAGTATTTACAAAGGTATATAATGCTATGATTAATCGATTTCGATATTAGAACGGAAACACGTGTTCCGGTCTTCTATTAGCAAGTGTTTTTTGTTGTTGTTTTCTTTTGTTTTTCAAAACTTCGTCCGTCCGTGAACAATACTGATACCTAAACTATTCGCAGAATATTTGCCAATATTAATTTTTCATTGTCGATCTGGAGCGACTCGCGACTCTACAACCTTGAAAATAATTCTTTAAATTTTTGGAGTAATTTAGTTGTCTGGAGGGCATTTTCAAACTTCTCTCCAAATCGGCTCCATTTTTTTCTATAAATTTTTGTGAACAGAGTCCGCAAGACAGGGATATTTGAAATGGTGTGTGTGGCATTTGGGACATTTGAGAACGTCCTGTATTACACTACACACTACATTTTTCACTATTTTTTTCGTCTGGCAGACAACTGTGTGTGTAATTAAGGAAGTGGAAAACCTACACCCAGAATTGTAACAGGAGATAGGAAACCAACTAGAACGAGAAAGTGTGTGCTATACTGCTCCACAAATAGTCACGAAACCTCATGCAAATGTTATTTTTCTCTTGTTTCGAAGATCGCTGTATAGAATTTCATAAAGATCGAAATAAATCACAGATTGGTATAAAACACTTTACTTAAAATAATAATTTGAAAAGAATGTAGTCGAAGAGATGTTCAACAAAAAATATTTTAGTGAAAAAAACCATTTATTTGTGTTCCTTATCTTGGGTTTAGTGCAATTCAATAGATTTTAGATTTTTCTGAGACCTGAACATTTTTTCTTTAACGATTACAATATACAACAGATTTCCATTGATCGTTTGAATTACCGCGATTTTTAATTAGCAAAAACAAAAGTGAGTAACGTTTCTTCTCTTAATTAATATTAATTAAAATATGCGAAATATTAATATTACATTCACAGTAAAGTATAAAAAGATCATTTTTCTTAATTTAACGCGCCAAGTATTTTCAGATTTGGTCATGTTCAAATTCTTTGCATTCAGAAGTCTTTGGGCGGGAGTTCACGAGGGAAGATCTAGATTCGCTCTTTCAGCTGGCCAACAGCGCAGTGGCCAAGTCGCTAACTGAACCTCAGTCTGCGTTTCGTACTGCAGGTGACGGGTCGTGGTCGGGGAGGGGCGATTCTGGAACATTGTTTTGTGGACAAGTGCGTCGTGTTCTCGAAATGTCTGAAAGGTAAGCTCCATCTTCAAATTGTATTTGTGTTAATTTGACTCCAAGTTGCATGAAATTTGAATTTCGTAAGTTCAGAAAGTTGGAAACCTTTTAGTGATTCCTTAAGTTTGGTGATCTCACTATACCGATAAAGAAGATTGACTTCATAAAACTAATGGTTTACATGAAAAATACCGAAAAATGGGATCTAAGATACTTGACTACGAATAGTAAAACTCGTTACTTGGAGCAAATTGTATTGATAAAAAAATCTTCGCCAAAATATTAGATATACTCGTGACCTCGCCACGTAAAACATTTTCAATTCGCTTGCGCTAGATATTTTACTAGTCTTTATCTCTGAACTTTGTTCAATCATATATGCACTGGGCTCTTGCCTGCCATCAACCTTGGCTAAAAAGATAAATATTGTCGTTACATTAGTATCAACAGTGCGATATTTTGACTAGGAAGAGATCTGAACAATAAAAACCCTATGAAAATAGCTAACCAATCCTGCATAGTAAAGAACTGTAAAAAACGGCAAAATGGCTTTAATTAATGGACGCTTGTTAATGCGCAGGATGAGTGAAGAGAGAATAAATGCAACCCACTGTAACTACAGGGGATAATTCATTCCCGTTTAAAAGAATAAATACTTAGGTTGAAGTATGGTACGCCCTCAGAGAAGCGTGGCGGAAGAGGGGGAGGGGTCTCCTTGAGCCCTCCCTCAAATTACGCTACGCGCTCTCATAGAAATGAATAAAACTTAGGGATAGGCGATTTTCATGGCTCGCTTTTCATACGTTTTGTCCCAGTCTCATTGTAATGCCAATTTACTTTCAATGACAAGTTTTCTCGCTTCGCTCGCCCGGATCCGTCACGGCGAGGCTCGGTTGGCCTTCGGTCCTCGCGTTCACTATAAACATTCTTGAGTCTATCCACTGCATGATTACCAATTCACTTTTATAAAAATAGCACTCTTCACGAAAGCCTCCAGAATTCAAACTGAGAAATTGCCGCCGGAGCAGGCAAAGTGCCTGTTTAAACGACTTCCGTAAGTTGTACAGTATACGAGACATCAGAGAATACTAGTCTTATTTATCCGCAGACAAGATAAATATTAAAATTTAATCTTTAAATACCGCGATTCTTTCTGAAATTTTAATTATTACATTTTAATATTCACAAATTTTTAATCATTGTAAATTTTAAAAATTGATTCCATTCTAATCATAGGAGTCGGAGAATGTTTCTTTATCGTAAATATAATATAAATAGTTATTTTCCTTCAATATTATTAGACTACTTTAATACCGAATTAGTGATTTGCAGCATGCGAAAACTGTCCAACAAAACTACCCAAAAATGTTTTCCAAAAAGTAAAACGTACACTACTAGAGAGCAAATAAAATATACTCGCATAAAAATACAATATATTAAATCGAAATAATTATTTTTTATATTCTCTTCTCTTACAAAAGAACTTCTCTTACATAGAAATTGATATGTAAATTAGGTCTCTGAAGAATGACACGACGATAGTTGTGGTTTAAATGGTATATTATGAATTTTTTTGTCTTTCACATCTGCACAAGTAAATTCTTATATTCAATGTTGGTATTTATTTCAGGCGAATTCTGCCTTGTGCCCCTTCTGAGCGCATCAAGCCACTCTCCTCCCGTACAGACCCTACTGAGAGTGTACAAAGGGACCACGTGGTTATATCGCGTGGTAAGTTACGGAGCTAGTGCAGTTCTTCTAGCTGGATTCCAGCGTACGACACAGCAAGCAGATCGCAGGGGACGAACGGGTGAATACCTTTATGATTAGGGGCAACACTGCGGAGAGACCTTGGGAGGGATGAAAATGTAGACGTGGTTTCTTGGGTTAGGTTCTGTTTAACTTTTTGTGAGAGGAATTATACGCGAGTTCTGGGTTGGGAAAAGTCTTGAGCAAATCGGTGAATGGGGAGTACAATTGGTTTCGCGGGAAAGATGTGGGCTTGCTTTGAAGCTTGTATGGTTTATTATGATTTATTTGGTTGAATGTACAGGTGCTTTTGAGAATTGTTTTATTGTACTGGTGGTTGTTGAGTGGGATCGTTGATTCGTGTGGGTAGAACGGTGTCTTGCAAGTTTTCTTCGGCTGGCTAGTCTACTAACATATTCCATATATAGTTTTAGAGTAGGGGTGACAAAGATTTGTAGAAGGCAAGAGTAAATATACGTGTAAAAATATCTTGCGTACGTATATGAAATGTACTGTGTATGCAAAGAAATGGGCAAAAACATTCCTGCATCTCCGAAAATGTAGTTTATGACGCATGCAAAGCACTAATTCGTAAGTAAACGTCCTACAGAGGGACACAAGGAGTTCGGTGTAGGGCAGTGTGCGCGCCGGGGTGCACATTCGACTCCCGTGCAACCGGCTGGGGGTTTACGTTTAGGGGACATAGCCTAGGCCGCCCCACTTCCCTCCTGCCCCGCAGAAATGAAGGTGGCTGCAGGAAGTGGAACCAGGAATTGCACCCGGGGCGAGAGGGGCTGTAGCTACCTGGAACTTCTTTTAGTGTGAGGCCGTAGGTTACGTAGTATGTCGGCCATTTGCCGGTTGTGTCAGCATTCGCCACTCGGTCACCGCTTAAGACTGATCTTTCTGTTCTTTCCCGACTACTCGGTAAGGACTAATTGGAAAGCTGGAAGCAATACGCGCGGATAATGGCGTTTCAGCATATAGCAAGGTCCTATAAATTGTCGGATAAGAATGACACAGAGCTAGAACGGTCGACGTAGAGTCATCTTGAGTCACCTATTGGAGATCCAATGTTCTTTCTGGCGTTGGTTTAGACCCGTGGAAATTGAGGTGAATCGATGTTTCAAGATATACGGCGTGTATTAGAAACACCTAGATCCACTTTGAATGCGTTCAAAAAATAAGATTTCGGGCGACTGGGATACATTTATTTATCCCATGAAAATTCCATATCAGTAAGTTTCATTAATTTCTATCAGAGCGCGTGGCGTAATTTGCGAGCTTAGGGAGACCCCTCCAATCCGTCGCCTCGTTTCTCTGAGGGTGTACAGAGTACCCTACTTTCTCCCGCCTCCTCTGGGACAATTTGAGCCTGAAATCTCGTATATTGAGTTTAACTCAATAAAAGTAAATATGAAAATTTAAACATTGATTTCAAGGTTCGGAACAAGCACGAGATTTCATCAAAACGTCATCACAATGTTGCGTTTACTTATTACGTCTTTCTGGAGACGTGAAATTGGCGTTGTGTTCACATTCAGTGTTACGTTTCTCAGTGTCCTTGGTAACTGACATTCACACGCCTTACACTGGTTGGAGAGTACCTGAGTTGAGGTTATGACCGTGTAAGTCATTAGTTTAACGTGGAATAAGCAAATGGTTTAATATTATTCAAAAATTGGATGAATAAATCAAAAAGTGAGTGATTAATATTAATTCCTTTCTTAGTAACGAATACTGAGTACTAATAATATTGCTAAAAATGTGCATATTTGTGTTGTTTATCTTACAATTAAAGCAATTAATATTTATTACAGCAGCTTTCTGTGTAAATGTCAGACGATGTGTTTATATAGAATCACAAATAAAAATATTACCCTCGATTAACTTTCAAAATATTTCAGAATGTCTTACTCTTTTCGAAATTCAAAATGTACTATTACGAACGTAACATGAAAATGATAAAAAAACTGTTTTTTCAGATTGCGAAGATAAGTAAAATGAATTTCAAGAACTTCAGAGGAATTTATACTGCTTCTGAATTACTACTGCATTGTTGGGAATATTCGTCAGCAAATGTCACCCGGCGGCTACAAACCAGCACGATGTGCCGCAGGTATCTATGGCACAGTTAAAATTCCTAATCAATACTTAATGGAATTTTCTCAAAACTATTGAAAAATATAGATGTTCTAATTTTAGTTACATTTTTTTAAAAACTTTTACGTCATGTATTGTTATTTGGAAACTTAAACGTAAATGTAGTTTCACTATGCGCACGTTTTGTTGAACTCTCCTTTTGCTTGTGGTGGTAGGGGCTAAGGGTGAGTTACAATTTTGTTAGCAATGCAGAAAATAAATCTGAAGTTCGTTTACCGTTTAAAAAAGTTTTCTATAACTCGGGAGCAAAAATGTCTACTTTTTCAAATGTTAATGGGAAGGTATTCTTGAACTCAAAATAACGTGCGCAGATTATCTTCTACCCATACGTCACATACAGTTTGTACTGTTTTTTGTCTGAATAAATCTAAAATCTAAACGTGTGAAGAGGCAGTACCACCAACTTATCCTTACCTTTTATATCGTTGATGGAATGGGAGGGATATTACATGATTCAAAGGCTAGATGGTGTGATAATACGGTTTCCTCAGCATCAGGTTCATAGTGATGTAACTAAAATGTCGGCTTCAGACGGATGAAAAAGCTAGGTTGAATCATAATTTCGTGTATGAATAGTTCAAGAATTCAAGCTCGCATTACACCACAGAAACTATTTTTCCAAACAATGCAAAAAATATACATAATGTATTCTATTTTTTGTTCATTTTTAAAATCCCTTGGCATCCAGTCTCTCGTCAAGCTGGTCATGAAAGCTGAACTATTAGAAAATGTTTAGTTTTAGATGATTCCCCTTGTATCACGGAAACACATAAGAAGAAACCTTTTGTAAAAATAATCAACAAGTAAGATTTCTACTAGATGAAAGGTATGGAATGATTAGTTAGTAATATGTCTTCAAATTTTATCTACTGAAATAAAAGGAAATGGTATAGACGTCGAAAAAGACTTGGTAACAAAAAATTGAACATTTGAAGTTTTGCATTTTTTTACCTTATGGTTCCATTCTAGAGGAAGTATTCGGATGTTGAATCTATCTTTTCGCAGTGCTGGATTAGAAGTTCTAATATCTTGTAAAAAATTATACTTGTGCAGAAGCTATCGTTTATTTTTAAGAGAGTAAAACTGTATTGACTATTTTTAAGCAAGTGAAACAGTGAAGACTGAAATAAAAATAGAGCAGAGTAATCGCAATAGTTTGATTGTCTAAAATGTACAAAAACGCTTGAGAAACGAAAATTAAGAGAAGTTTTCGACACACGGAAAACATATCCACCATTTCGTAATTCGACGTTTCCCTAGAATTAATAAAACAAAGGTTGCATTTCATGTTCAGGAAATAATAAATGTCTTAGTTTTTCAAATGTTGCTAATTTCGTGATATTTTTAATTTTATTTATTTATCTTCAACTTTTATTCATCTTTAAACTATTATTGTTACAATTATGGGATTTTGGATCTCAAGCAAACGTGCTCAGATGAACTTCTCCACCATACGTCACATACAGTTTTTACTGTTTTTTGGCTATATAAATCTAAATCTATATTTTGCTTCCATCGGCATCCATTTCCCCCAGTCGCTGACCCAGAGAAATCCCTCCTTTTAAACCCAGAAGATTTGATTTCCCACTGGGCAAGATGGTGCAGTGCAATCTACTGATGTCCTCTGCAGTGTCTCTGACCGAGAGGTCAATAAGGTTCGAGTCCCGGCGTTTGCGGATTTCGACACTACCTAACTAGGTCGAATGTCAGATCGTGTCTTGAGGAAGAGTTCTGGCGGCCGAATGCTCTGATGCGGCTAGTTTTCCGTTTGTTCCTCTGTCAATTACAAGCAAATGCGGGGCCAGTAACCTAACACAAGGGCTCGGACGCGCGCCTGCGATGTTTCGCTTTCTCTTTCTTGTTCTCTTCGCCTTATGCACACTTAACACGTAACATGTACTAAATCACCGCACATGTCAGAGCATTTCGGGAGGTTTAAACTTATGCGCTGTGTGATGGGGATACCTGAATGGGGAACCCATTTCAATCGATGGTAGGCTCGGCGCTGTATCTCACATCCGTGGAGGGAAGATCAACCATTTTGGTAGGACAACACATGTATAAACCATTACTAAGTGGAACTAATTTCTTAGCAGTTGACCGCGCCCGGCAATCTGCTGAATCAATCATTCGATTCCGGAGCGAAAGTGCGCAGTGCCGTACTGTTGTGCGCAGGTCTGGAGGAGAGGGGCGCCTTGGTGAAGGAGATGCTCATAGTGGCAATGTGGCCCGGAGCCGGCCCTCACAGGGTGGACAGGGTGACGGTGGTGGGTGCGGGGCAGGTGGGCATGCGCGTGTGGCATCAGCCTTTCCTCATGCAGGTCAGTTCGATGCGGGCGCCTGTGATGGTTTAAAGCCACGCCGTTGCCTCTCAGCAGTGGTGACCAGCCGGTCCTAACTACAGTCACGTAACTACGGTCAACTACAGCCGTAATATCGGTCGCTCGCTACCTGACGACTGAAAACGAAATCGACAGACTTATTACATCGGAAACCAGCACCCAAATGTTGCACCCATGGAGCTGTGTGTTCTTAGCTCCGTGGTTGCACCTGAAATCGTCGGAATATTTCTATAATTTCACAGTTCGTTGTTTGGAAATTTGGGAAATGCACGCTCACGACCATCTACTAATCACGCAGGTTTTTTTGCTATTCGGCAGCGGGTGATGCGGGGAGAGGAATTCTCTGTTTACGTCATAGCTTAAAAGGGCGTACCGACTATTAAAATGAACATAGCGCGCCAAGCGTAGGGTGAACTTACGTGAATGATTGCAATTACTGCGTAACATCGGAATAACTGTCACGTTCACTTTCACTGGTCGTGTCTCCAGAAACTCTGACTATAATGTCGACGGCTATTTCTAAAACTAAATCTTTTGCCAATATTCGTTTTCACTCTTGTGGATGTGTTCGCAAAAGCCTATTCAGTATGCAGATGTGACAGTGGAGAATGCGTAGTGTGTGAGTTCACGAAAGTGTTGGACTAACATGGCACCAGTGGCGCTGCTCCCTAAACACTCTTTTAATTTTACCCCATGATAACTATGAGATTCAGGTCACAATTGTAAAGTGGAAGACGTACAATAGTATGACCTCTTTCAGAAGCCATTTTGTCCATTACGTAAACCTTCGCTCGGTTTATTAGCTTGTATTAGGTCTAACAAATTACTTTTACGTAGACTGTGATCACAATCAACCTTAACCAAACTCTTCCTTAACTACTCTATAATTGTCAGTTTGGTATCGTATCTCGATGAGACTCTTTCAGCTTGCCTAAGAATGGTAAAGGCAATATTTATGACTATGATGGATGCGGGAATTTGGGGTCAATTAAACCATCTTTCAAAATTGATGGAGTTCAATGGTCGATGGTAATCCCTTTGTGATGTGATCACTTCCATTATTAGATTAGAATATGTAACAAACCCATTTCGAGAATCTGTACTAACAATAATGAGACGTTTTGCAGAACTGCCTCAACAAGTCACTCATAATGTCATTCACCGTTGCTAGAACTATCCTGACGTCATATTGTTGTCTATCCACAATTCATCAAAATAAAAAAACCTTCCTTCCGTCCTCCCTAAGATGCTTTATTCTTACGAGGTATCGAGATCTCCAATCTACAATATCACCTTGTTTTAACAGTAATTTGCATTTGTTCTGTACTTTCTTCCAAACGAATGCCATAGATTTCAAAATAGTTCGAAGTGATGAAGGACCCCCATTCCAATTGATTTTTTGTTTTAGCACTGGTAAAATTTTTGTTATTGTAAAAACCACTTTCTGGACAGTGTAAAAATCACGAATAGTGTCCCTAATTACTCTTTTGTCAAAATAGTTCAACGAGATTTTCCGCGTGTTCTTGTTCTGACAACAAATAAAAAAAGATTCGTGCACTTACCCTTCGCTACAAAATAAAAAAAATACTAAATATTTCCAAATAAGAACGTGTCATGTAATTCGTGTAATAACAGTAGTACCTCTTTTTGCCCGGAGTTACAGGTGACTGATATTGGTGCGAAACCTTATTTTTTTTATTCTATTCACGGACGCAATGTTCGCACCCGTGTAAACGGTCGCCCTCTTTAAGGCTTGGTTAATAGGGGCCAGGAGCGTCTTGTTTTCTTTCTCTCTTAGACATCCCATCACGTTAGCAATGATTTTCCTCTCCCCACTATGAAGAGTTTGAATATAACGGCGAGATGGTGGCGTTCTCGGAGTTTCCCCGATAGGACTCTGGGACTGCCTCTGCAATAGTTAATCTTCATGTAACGGCGCGAAGTAGATACAATTTTATTCTGAGATGAGAACTTCTGTCCGTTACTTTTCTCCAAAAAATCTATAGAAATGTTCGAATAAATTGAAGATTTATCACAGGAGATACCTCGAACTCATGACAAAATTGGAACGCAAATTATTGAGAAAATTGCGAAGGCATGACTGATTCTACGAAGATAAACATTGCTTCATAAAATCTGGTGGTCGTAACTAAAACCCCCTCTACCCGCATTTCTTCAATCCATCGTTCAAGAAAAGTTTCGCGAGTAATAATTGTATTGGTGTTAGTCTTGGATATAACAGATGGCCTTGATTCTCCAGCTGATTTCAGGCGAATGGAAACATCAGATGCAACCGAAACAGATCTTACCCTGATAGCCGAGATTTCCAGATGTCGATGGAAGAGAACGTTCGGGTTCAATGTTCCCATTCCTTTTACTAGAACGTGTTTGAACGAATCAGACGTATTTGACGCAAACGTCCGACGACGGCCGACCGAAATTACTACCAAAATCTGATCCACTGTGACCATCGCCTGAAGTTACCAATCCAATCTAATATCGGTGAATTAATTACTAATTTTTCAATTAATTTTTTTCCCGTATTTTACGTGAACTCTTTAACGAGATTATCATTGTTACGTTGTGTGCGTGCGCAACACGTGGCCTAAGGAGT